GGCAACATGCACATTTGTCAAAATTAAACATTTAATGTACACAATATGTATAATTAATCACCCTGAGCAATATACGAGGAAATCTGACATTTTAAATAACCATGAAACATACTATTTCTATTGTATGGGTAAAACTGTTTTAATGTAGAAAGAACTTCAGAATTTGTTCTTTTGTTACTGTAATGCTGTCAGTCATCAAAATAAAATAATGACAACATTGCTGATGTGTTGATATAAAACACGATATATAATAACAGCCCATGGCTGAGCAGAAACACACGGTCACAGCAGGTCTCCGAGTCTGTACTCACTGGTCTTCTTCTTGACGTCCAGAGCGATCTTGATGCCCTGATCGAAGAAATCCACCACCTGCTGGAAGTCAGACTCCTTGAACTGACGGGACGTGAGAGCAGGGGATCCTGGGAAACCAGAGGAGCAGAGATTGAGAGTGTGTGAGAGAGTGTGTGCGTGTGTGAGAGTGTGAGTGAGTGTGTGTATGTGTGTGAGAGAGTGTGTGTGAGTGAGAGTGTGTGCGTGTGTGAGTGTGTGCGTGTGTGTGTGAGTGTGTGCGTGTGTGAGTGTGTGCGTGTGTGTGTGCGTGTGTGTGTGTGAGTGTGTGCGTGTGTGTGTGTGAGTGCGTGTGTGAGAGTGTGTGTGCGTGTGTGAGAGTGTGTGTGCGTGTGTGAGAGTGTGTGCGTGTGTGAGAATGTGAGTGTGTGTGCGTGAGTGAGTGTGTGTGAATGAGAGTGAGTGCGTGCGTGCGTGTGAGAGTGTGTGCGTGTGTGAGAGTGTGAGTGCATGTGTGTGTGTGTGTGTGCGCGTGTGAGTGAGTGTGTGTGAATGAGAGTGAGTGAGTGAGTGCGTGCGTGCGTGTGAGAGAGTGTGAGTGAGTGTGTGTATGTGAGAGAGTGTGAGTGAGTGTGTGTATGTGTGTGAGTGTGTGTATGTGTTTCTCACCGAGCCTCAGGCCGCCGGGGGTCAGTGCGCTCTTGTCTCCAGGGCAGGTGTTCTTGTTGGCCGTGATGGACACCAGCTCCAGAACCCGCTCGGCCCGCGCTCCGTCCATCCCCTGAGGCCTCAGGTCCACCAGAACCAGATGATTATCAGTTCCTCCTGAACAAACACACACGACACTCACCTTCAGTCAAAAGAGTCTGTCTGGATGAAGATCTACGGTTGCTTCGATTTCCAGTTCCCTGATTTAACAGCTTTTGTATTGAGGTTATAATGCATTCAATCATCATGAACAGCCGGGTCACATCACAGTGGAGTCAGCTGTCTTAACCGTGGCTTGTGTACTGCAAACACATACCAGCTTCATCACTGTGTCTGTCACGCGACTCTGTTCCCCTTTCGGGCTCTGTCTTTACATTTATTTTGAAAGATGAAGCTCGCGATTATGGTAAGGGGCGTTACATTTCCGACGAGTGCTTGCGGTGTTCGGCCAATCACAATGCACTGGGTCAGCTGGCCAATCAGAGCAGACTGCGCTTGTCGGAAGGAGGGACTTTGTAGAAAACGAAGCGTTTGAGAGAGGCGGGGCATAGAGGACCTACAATAATGTACAGTATTTGAAAAATAATGTGTTTTTTGAACATTAGAGCATGTCAACATATTCTGTTACACCAAATACACAAAATAATGATCTTTAAAAAAGCATCATATGACCCCTTTAACTTTCAACAGATCTGCATTTCTTTTTAATTTATTTGACAGCTTGTGTTACAGCTCTGCTCAGAAATGCTAGATTATGGAAATAACTTTTTCTGTATACCTTATGATCACACTGCAAAAAAATTAGGTTCTTCCTCAGTATTACTGTCTTGTTTTCCAGTGCAAATGACTGAAGATTCTTAAATCAAGAGACATTTACTGGAGAAACAAAATTACTTAAAGGGATAGTTCACCCAAAAATGAAAATGAGCCCATGATTTACTCGCCCTCAAGCTATTCTAGGTGTATCTGACTTTCTTCTTTCAGACGAATCCAATCGGAGTTATATTTAAAAACGACCTGCTCTTCCAAGCTTTATAATGGCAGTGAATGGGTGTTATTTTTCAATAGTCCGAAAGAAGTCCAATAAAGCGCATCCATCCATCATAAAAAGTGCCTCACTCGGCTCCAGAGGTGAATAAAGGTCTCCTGAAGCGAATCAATGCGTTTGTGTAAGAAAAATATCCATATTTAAAACTTTATAAACCGTAATCTCTAGCTTCTGCTTACTGTCGTACGCGCGTTCATTCCTGCGGATGATGATGTAGATGTTCACATACTGGTAAAACATTTATAGTCTGAATGCACTGTAAGTCATTTTGGATAAAAGCGTCTGCTAAATGCATAAATTAATTAAATTAAATGATAAATTAAATTACGTAGGCTCTGGTGAGAAGTGACGAATGCGGAAGCGCAGCAGAGAAAGCAAAAAAAGAACAAAACGAGGATTTGTAAAGAAGAATGTGGGAGGATTTGGATATAAGCCAAGAGCAGACTGGTTTTCCTTTGCTAAAGTAAAGAAACTTTGCTTCCTTTGCTCCTGTAAACAAACGCCGGTTCTCGCGAGACGAGCATATTCTCACCGAAGCTTACGCTATGCCTACGTCATCCGCCGGAATTATAGAAATATGGATATTTTTCTTACACAAACGCATTGATTCGCTTCAGGAGACCTTTATTCACCTCTGGAGCCGAGTGAGGCACTTTTTATGATGGATGGATGCGCTTTATTGGACTTCTTTTGGACTACTGAAAAATAACACCCATTCACTGCTATTATAAAGCTTGGAAGAGCAGGACATTTTTAAATATAACTCCGATTGGATTCGTCTGAAAGAAGAAAGTCAGATACACCTAGGATGGCTTGAGGGCGAGTAAATCATGGGCTAATTTTCTTTTTGGGGTGAACTATCGCTTTAAGTCTTTTTTTCTGAGAAAATGATCAAAATAAAGTGAGTTTATGCTTAAAATAAGTGGAAATATCTGTCAACAGGCTCTGAAAAATCAAGTAGATTCAAAGGGAAAACACGTATGCATGCAGACGGGCTTAAAAACATCTTACAACCCGGATCACGTTGAAAAATCATAGTGAGGATAGACGTGGTTTGTGTTGAACCATCAAATAAACACGTCAGTCTTTAAAAACATTTAGAGGATGTTTTTCAGGGATGTTTTCACGCTTCCACAAATTAAAGCTCTTAAATCGGAGCAGAAAGTCGTGGTATTAAATGTTGCACGCACTGCAAAACATGAATATCTTCCTCCGTATTTCTATCTTGTTTTCCAGGTCAAATATCTAAACATCCTTAAATCAAGAGACATTCACTGGAGATGCACAATGAAGATGTGAAGCCAGAAATTGATCAAAATAAAGGGACTTTATGCTTAAAATAAGAGGAAATATCTGTCAATGAGGAATGAAAACGTGTTTTCCCTTTGAATCTACTTGATTTTTCAGAGCCTGTTGACAGATATTTCCACTTATTTTAAGCATAAACTCACTTTATTTTGATCATTTTCTCAGAAAAAAAGACTTAAAGCGATAGTTCACCCCAAAAAGAAAATTAGCCCATGATTTACTCGCCCTCAAGCCATCCTAGGTGTATCTGACTTTCTTCTTTCAGACGAATCCAATCGGAGTTATATTTAAAAATGTCCTGCTCTTCCAAGCTTTATAATAGCAGTGAATGGGTGTTGTTTTTCAGTAGTCCAAAAGAAGTCCAATAAAGCGCATCCATCCATCATAAAAAGTGCCTCACTCGGCTCCAGAGGTGAATAAAGGTCTCCTGAAGCGAATCAATGCGTTTGTGTAAGAAAAATATCCATATTTAAAACTTTATAAACCGTAATCTCTAGCTTCTGCTTACTGTCGTACGCGCGTTCATTCCTGCGGATGATGATGTAGATGTTCACATACTGGTAAAACATTTATAGTCTGAATGCACTGTAAGTCATTTTGGATAAAAGCGTCTGCTAAATGCATAAATTAATTAAATTAAATGATAAATTAAATTACGTAGGCTCTGGTGAGAAGTGACGAATGCGGAAGAGCAGCAGAGAAAGCAAAAAAAGAACAAAACGAGGATTTGTAAAGAAGAATGTGGGAGGATTTGGATATAAGCCAAGAGCAGACTGGTTTTCCTTTGCTAAAGTAAAGAAACTTTGCTTCCTTTGCTCCTGTAAACAAACGCCGGTTCTCGCGAGACGAGCATATTCTCACCGAAGCTTACGCTATGCCTACGTCATCCGCCGGAATTATAGAAATATGGATATTTTTCTTACACAAACGCATTGATTCGCTTCAGGAGACCTTTATTCACCTCTGGAGCCGAGTGAGGCACTTTTTATGATGGATGGATGCGCTTTATTGGACTTCTTTTGGACTACTGAAAAATAACACCCATTCACTGCTATTATAAAGCTTGGAAGAGCAGGACATTTTTAAATATAACTCCGATTGGATTCGTCTGAAAGAAGAAAGTCAGATACACCTAGGATGGCTTGAGGGCGAGTAAATCATGGGCTAATTTTCTTTTTGGGGTGAACTATCGCTTTAAGTCTTTTTTTCTGAGAAAATGATCAAAATAAAGTGAGTTTATGCTTAAAATAAGTGGAAATATCTGTCAACAGGCTCTGAAAAATCAAGTAGATTCAAAGGGAAAACACGTTTTCATTCCTCATTGACAGATATTTCCTCTTATTTTAAGCATAAAGTCCCTTTATTTTGATCAATTTCTGGCTTCACATCTTCATTGTGCATCTCCAGTGAATGTCTCTTGATTTAAGGATGTTTAGATATTTGACCTGGAAAACAAGATAGAAATACGGAGGAAGATATTCATGTTTTGCAGTGCGTGCAACATTTAATACCACGACTTTCTGCTCCGATTTAAGAGCTTTAATTTGTGGAAGCGTGAAAACATCCCTGAAAAACATCCTCTAAATGTTTTTAAAGACTGACGTGTTTATTTGATGGTTCAACACAAACCACGTCTATCCTCACTATGATTTTTCAACGTGATCCGGGTTGTAAGATGTTTTTAAGCCCGTCTGCATGCATGATCTGATAGGATGAGATTTAAAGAAGCCGTTAGTAGAGCTTCATGCGTCTGCAGGTCTTTGGTGCGTCAGTGTGTTATGAAGACGCTCTCTACTGCTTCACTCCACACAACCCAACGCTGAATCATTAACAGGACTATTCATTAATACTGCTTTAGTTTATTAGTTCCTCTACTTCGTAGGGGTTTGAGTCTCACTCCTGCAGCACACACTGATAAAACGCAGGAAAACTAACTTCATCTTCCGGGAGAATCCAGTGGCGTCGTCTCAGTCCCAGACGAACACGTTCTGCTCACCTGAAGAGAAAACCTACAGCTCGTGAAAACCCACCCGAGACCAGCGTGTAGCCCTTCTTCAGCAGCGCCTCGGCCATGGCCTTGGAGTTCTTCAGAACCTGAGCGATGTATTCACGAAACATGGGCGTCGCGGCCTGAGGAGAGAGCGAATGAAGAGCTATCAATTATCAAAAATCATAAATGAGCTCCCAAGCGCACCGGCTATCGTTCAGGAGAAGATGAGAGAGAATCAAATGATGCTGCAAATGATGCTACTTTCTCATCTACCGTCAGCATTTAATTTCAACAAATCTTAAACAAGTCTAACTTGTCATTATTTGTAAAAATACGATTCCCAGTGCGATTATTAGTTACAGTGTCTTCCTTTTTATTAATATTTTTAACAGTTTCTTTATTTGTGAAAAAACTCACACACACTCTCTCTCTCTCTCTCTCTCACACACTTGGCTATTGCTACAAATATCCCCCAGCGACTCAACACTGCTTTTGTGCTCCAGGGTCACATATAATCTGCATGCATGCAACATCCAAATCATCTACATTTTCTAAAAATGTGCAGTGCATATTGCATGAGATCCCACAATGCAATGTGCTAAAACTGACCTTCAGCTACCTCAATCTGCTGTGATTTTGAGCTCTCTTTTTCTCATTTGATCAGACGGCCAAGTTATGAAATTTTTACACAAATCTGGACTAAAAAAACCCCCACCAAGTAAGCATTTTATTTCATTACTTTTTATGTAATGTTGTCATGTTACAATGTAACTTACTGCATGTGTTCTGCAGTAAGACTTTTTTTTCTCTTCTGCTCACTAAAGTTGCATTGATTTGATCAAAAATACAGTAAAAATTGTGAAATATTATTACAATTTAAAACAGCTGTTTTCTCTGTGAATATCTGTTAAACTGTAATGTATTTCTGTGATGCGCAGCTGTATTTTCAGCATCATTCCTCCAGTCTTCAGTGTCACATGATCTTCAGAAATCAGTATAATATGCTGATCTGCTGCTCGAGAAACATTTCTGATTATTATCAATGTTGAACACAATTGTGCTGTGATGCATTTTATTTTTCAGGATTCAGAGATGAACAGAAAGTTCAAAAGAACAGCATTTATTTCAAACAGAAATCTTTTGGAACATTATAAACGTCTTTACTGTCATTTTTGATCAATTTAATGCGTCCTTGATGAATAAAAGTATTAATTTCTTTCAAAGAATGAATGGTCTGTGCATTAAACACTGTTGGTACACTAGTACTGCACACATGCTTTGAGAAATGGATCACAGAAGAGCCACTGGTCTCTGGTTGAGGTGTACCTGGATCCTCGCAGTGATTTGTGTGTGGTTGTGGTGACGAGGTCGGCGTGTTGGAAAGGCGAGGGAATGGCTTTGCCTGCCACCAGTCCACTGATGTGAGCCATGTCCGCCAGCATGTACGCGTTCAGCTCGGTGCACAGCTGCTCGGAGACAGAGACCAGAGTAATAAAGAGCTCAGAGAGAATTATGAAAGCGTTTAGAAGCTGAGATCTGCGGCGCTCGCGGCAAACATAACAAAGCGCTCCCGTTATCGGCCCATCAGAGAGTGACCTGATGAGATCCGCACGCTCCTCCGGGGAACGAGACCCAGATACTGCAGGCGCTTCGCTAACACTTCTGAGCAAGATGCTACGCTCTCAGGGTAAAAATAATCTCCTGCTGATTATACACTGATACTCTTAATCTGTCGTGGAGTGTGTGTGTGTGTGTGTGTGTGAGTGTGCGAGAGTGAGTGTGTGCGTGAATGAGTGAGTGTGTGTGTGTGAGTGAGTGAGTGAGTGAGTGAGTGAGTGAGTGAGTGTGTGTGTGTGAGAGAGAGTGTGTGTGTGTGTGTGTGTGAGAGAGTGTGTGTGTGTGTGTGAGTGAGAGTGAGTGAGTGAGTGTGTGTGTGAGTGTTGCTGACATTGTGTTTATCTTGCAGTAAAATTGGGCCACAGTGAATTCGAGCAACAAACATGAAATGCACACAATCTCAGCCTCCAGCAGAAAACCTGGAGCACGTTGCACAAAAAATTAAGAAAAAAACTCTCAGAGATGCTTGAACCCTAGCGAGTGCCCTACATAGACAGCACATGACAAAGTGAAAGACACATGCAATTCATCTTAGGAGGCATGATGTTTGAGCCTTCACGAGCTGTCTATGTAGGGCACTCACTAGGGTTCGGATCAGAACACATGCAAGCCTAATAAAAGAGAGGAGAGTCGTCCTGAACTGAGTGACTGCTGAATGGGATTATGGGTATTTGACTGTCCATCAAACATGTTTAAACATCATTTCATCAGTGTTAATGAGAACAATCATCATTCTTACTGCTGTTTGTGTGTGTGTGACAGGAGATGTGATTAAAAGCTGACAGTGACACTGCAGTGTGTGTGAGTGTGTGAGAGAGAGATTGTGAGCGTGTGTGTGTGTGTGTGTGTGAGAGAGTGTGTGTGTGTGTGTGTGAGAGAGAGATTGTGAGTGAGTGTGTGTGTGTTCACTGTACTGTGAGCAGAAAGCGTCAGGATCAGTGACTGTGTTTGTCGTCTCTGAGGCGTCAGGCTTGAGCAGTTAAACACAAATGTGTCAGAGAGACAGACGAGTGTGTGAGAATAAAGAGAGCAGTCGAGCATTAAAATAAACTCAGTTTAGTATTTGTATCTTAATGTATGTTTGCACTGTTTTCATTTTGCATAGTTTTAAATGCAAACACTATAAATTAAAAATATTTTAGCACCTAAAACATTTAAAACAACAACAAAATCTTTCTTTTTCTTTCTTTAAAAAAAAATCTAATTTAGTTTACATAAGATTTTTTAAAGAGAGGAAGTCTTCTAAAAACTGTTATAGAATAAACTCTTTTATTTAAATATGATCTTTATTTTCCAAAACTGAAAATGTGCTGAAACTGTGCTCACCCCCAGGCCGTACAAGATCAGGATGAGTTTGTTTCTTCATCAGGTTTGGAGAAATGTAGCATTGCATCAGTGTCTCAGCAATGGGTGCTCTGCAGTGAATGGGTGCCGTCAGAATGAGAGTCCAAACAGCTGATAAAAACATCACAATAATCCACAGCACTCCAGTCCATCAGTTCACATCTGGAGAAGACAAAATACCACTGAGTCCATAATCCATAATAACTCTTCCTCCAGTGAAAAAGTGTCTTAATGCTGGATTAGTTTCAGCTTTTGGCTTCTCCAGATGTGAACTGATGGACTGGAGTGCTGTGGATTATTGTGATGTTTTTATCAGCTGTTTGGACTCATTCTGACGGCACCCATTCACTGCAGAGCATCCATTGCTGAGACACTGATGCAGTGCTACATTTCTCCAAACCTGATGAAGAGACAAACTCATCCTGATCTCAGATGATCCGAGGATGAGCACAGTTTCAGATAATTTTCATTTTTGGGTGAACTATTCCTTTAGTTTATGCATGTTTATTTGTATGCAGCTGATCCTCAAATGAAAATGAGCAAAATGATTAATCATTCCAATAAAGACATTAAATAATCTGAAATGAAAGAGAGATTCAGACCTTGTATTTTGTCTTCTCCAGATGTGAACTGATGGACTGGAGTGCTGTGGATTATTGTGATGTTTTTATCAGCTGTTTGGACTCATTCTGACGGCACCCATTCACTGCAGAGCATCCATTGCTGAGACACTGATGCAGTGCTACATTTCTCCAAACCTGATGAAGAGACAAACTCATCCTGATCTCAGATGATCCGAGGATGAGCACAGTTTCAGATAATTTTCATTTTTGGGTGAACTATTCCTTTAGTTTATGCATGTTTATTTGTATGCAGCTGATCCTCAAATGAAAATGAGCAAAATGATTAATCATTCCAATAAAGACATTAAATAATCTGAAATGAAAGAGAGATTCAGACCTTCTTGATGCGGCTGTAGTCGATGAGGCGAGCGTAAGCGCTGGTGCCGGCGATGATGATTTTGGGTCGAAAGAGTCGCGCCGTCAACTCCATCTGATCGTAGTCTATCAGACCGGATTTAGGCTGAGAGAGACAGACAGAGACTGTTAGCCATTAAGGTGTTTACAACAGTACATTTCTGCATTCAGAAACAGCTGAAACAATAAATAAATAAATAAATGAATTAGATAATAAATACAAATACAGTAGTAAATAAATCTGTCTTTTTAAAGCGTGGATGTGAGCGTGTGCGTGTGTGTGTGTGTGTGTGTGTGTGTGTGAGAGAGAGCGAGAGAGAGAGAGAGAGAGAGAGAGAGAGAGAGAGAGAGAGAGAGAGTGTTAGCCATTAAGGTGTTTACAACAGTATATTTCTCAGTCTCATCAACAGTTTCTTTAGAGCCCGACCGATATGGTTTTTTTGGGGCCGATACCGATATTAGGGAGTAAATAATCGGCCGATATTCTTTGTGTATATTATAGTACAGTACCAGTCAAAAGTTTGGACACTTTCCCATTCGTGTGTCCAAATATTTGACTGGTACTATATATAGAATACAGTATACATAAACTAAACAAAACAAAAAAAATATATATGTATATAAACACATTTTTTGCAATGATCACTCAAATGTGGTGATCAAACACTTATAATGACGTGACAGAGATATGTAATGGAGGCAGGGCATTTAACAATTTAATAATAAACTTTATTATCCAAAATGAGTCTGACATCAGTGCACCGAACAGTAAAGTTTAAGTTTATTCAACTTTAATTAAATTCAACTTTATTCCGTTGAAGTTTATTTCACTTCGAAACATTCATTCACGGATTTGCGCTACTGTCTTCACACAGTAGCTTACTAGAGAAGTGTGAAGTGTGACATAATATACCTCTGTAAATAAATACAATATAAATTCACGTCTCGCGCGCTTTAATGCCCTTTGAATGTAACGTGTACGTGGAACTGGAATCATGGCGGGATCGCTTGATCGGTCGGTGCCGGACCGCGAATTTAACCACCCCTAACTCCCGAACCCCGGGGGCTATGGATGCGGGGGTGGTCTCATTCGAAAGCGGGCCTCTAGACGTACACTTGATTCGCGTTCGAGAGGGTTCCTCGAGTCCAAACAATGCAGTAGCAAACAATGGAGTAATTATACCATATCAAGCATTTTATCTGCGTTATATGTTCTGTAAAAAAAAATTGTCATATCGGCGGCATATTCGCCGATATCGATGTATATCGGTGACAGGCAAAATGATATATCGATCGGGCTCTTTTTTTTTTTTTTTTTAAAATTAAAAAAAAAAAAAAATTTGGGCTAGTTAAATAAATCAGTGAATGGGTGCCGTCAGAATGAGAGTCCAAACAGATGTTAACTGATGGACTGGAGTGCTGTGGATTATTGTGATGTTTTTATCAGCTGTTTGGACTCTCATTCTGACGGCACCCATTCACTGCAGAGCATCCATTGCTGAGACACTGATGCAGTGCTACATTTCTACAAACCTGATGAAGAAACAAACTCATCCTGATCTCAGATGAACTGAGGATGAGCACATTTTTGGGTGTATTTATATATGTTTATTTGTATGCAGCTAATGCTCTAATGCTTTAAGTACACAAATTAGCAAAATGATTAATCATTCCAATAAAGACATTGAATAATCTGAAATGAAAGGGAGATTCAGACCTTCTTGATGCGGCTGTAGTCGATGAGGCGAGCGTAAGCGCTGGTGCCGGCGATGATGAGTTTGGGTCTGAAGAGTCTCGCCGTCAACTCCATCTGATCGTAGTCTATCAGACCGGATTTAGGCTGAGAGAGACAGACAGAGACTGTTAGCCATTAAGGTGTTTACAACAGTATATTTCTCAGTCTCATCAACAGTTTCTTTAGAGCCCGACCGATATGGTTTTTTTGGGGCCGATACCGATATTAGGGAGTAAATAATCGGCCGATATTCTTTGTGTATATTATAGTACAGTACCAGTCAAAAGTTTGGACACTTTCCCATTCGTGTGTCCAAATATTTGACTGGTACTATATATAGAATACAGTATACATAAACTAAACAAAACAAAAAAAATATATATGTATATAAACACATTTTTTGCAATGATCACTCAAATGTGGTGATCAAACACTTATAATGACGTGACAGAGATATGTAATGGAGGCAGGGCATTTAACAATTTAATAATAAACTTTATTATCCAAAATGAGTCTGACATCAGTGCACCGAACAGTAAAGTTTAAGTTTATTCAACTTTAATTAAATTCAACTTTATTCCGTTGAAGTTTATTTCACTTCGAAACATTCATTCACGGATTTGCGCTACTGTCTTCACACAGTAGCTTACTAGAGAAGTGTGAAGTGTGACATAATATACCTCTGTAAATAAATACAATATAAATTCACGTCTCGCGCGCTTTAATGCCCTTTGAATGTAACGTGTACGTGGAACTGGAATCATGGCGGAATCGCTTGATTGGTCGGCGACCCCGGGGGGTATGGATGCGGGGGTGGTCTCATTCGAAAGCGGGCCTCTAGACGTACACTTGATTCGCGTTCGAGAGGGTTCCTCGAGTCCAAACAATGCAGTAGCAAACAATGGAGTAATTATACCATATCAAGCATTTTATCTGCGTTATATGTTCTGTAAAAAAAAATTGTCATATCGGCGGCATATTCGCCGATATCGATGTATATCGGTGACAGGCAAAATGATATATCGATCGGGCTCTTTTTTTTTTTTTTTTTACAATTAAAAAAAAAAAAAAATTTCTTTTTAGTTAGTTAAATTTTTTTTGGAGGGGGGGGGGCTGTTAAAAAAATATTAATAATAATAATAAATAAATACATGCATTAGATCAATTTAAATAAAGTAGTAAATAAATAAACAAGGATAAATTTTTTTTTTTTTTTTTTAAAATTAAAAAAAAAAAAAATTCTTTTTAGTTAGTTAAATTTTTTTTGGAGGGGGGGGGGCTGTTAAAAAAAATATTAATAATAATAATAAATAAATACATGCATTAGATCAATTTAAATAAAGTAGTAAATAAATAAACAAGGATAAAAAATACACTCAATACAAAAAAAAATTATAAATAGATAAAAACATTTTTCCCTCAAACTAGGATTCTTGAGCTGATGCAAAGGTAATTATTAATAAATTCTAAAATAAAAACAAATCAAAATAAAACGACAAAAAGATGAGGTACTTTATTTATCTGCATGTCATTTGACTATTAACTAATTAAAACTATTAAAAAATAAAAAGTTAATACATAAAACGATAAAATAAGTAAAATGCTAAAACAAAAAAAACCCCCATCTAAATAAATAAATAAAATGATTCACAAGAACTCTCTTTTCTTCAAGACGAGTGTAAAACGTTCATATTTTCAGCTAATTTTCAGGCAAAAGGAGCCACTGAAAACACGGTTTGTCTCACTGCACTTTCGTCTCTCTCAGACTTCTGTCCTGTCTTAGTTTCTCTCTGAGATCTGGACAGAAGATAATCTCTCTCTCAATTCGTCTGTCTGGTCACTCCATCACACGGACACCAGGCTGAGGGTCACGCTGGAGTGTGTGTGTGTGTGTGTGTGTGTGTGTGTATACGTGTGTGTCTGAGGGCCACCTGTCGATTTCCCACAGCTGCAATGCACTGAGACACGTTCTCCCTGCTGTTTACCTTCACTAAAGACGTAATCAACTGTGTTTATGTGAATACTCGTCAAAACGGACAATTCCACATCCTTTTGTGTGTACTTCTCCGTTCATGCGATGCTAAAGAGTACTCGCGTGCTGTGAGAGGCGCTTTCTGTGTGTGTGCTTCAGTGTCTGCGCTCAGAAAACCGGACCGAAGTGAGCTCTCTTGCGTCGTCAGGTTTATCCATATGTCTGCTCTTCTCTTACTCCCACATATTGACATTTTTGAACGTTTTATGTGACGTGCAGCAAGTGTATGTTAGCTTATGTCCCGCCAGTTCATATGTACGCATAACCTCCGAACCACGCACCAGAGTTTTATTTCTTTCTCGTCTCGTTGTCGTCAGTGAAAACACACACACACACACACACACACACACACACACACACACACACACACACACAGATCAACTCTTTA